AAAAAAAAAAAAAAAAAAAGAATTGGAGGTTTTCCAGGAGTGAATCTTAGGAACCCCTGAATGATGACTGTCTCCATCTTGCCCTCTGCTGGGTCTACCTCTGCTTCTGAGAAAACCCCTTCTCGGTGTCCCTTCCTGAGTCCTCTTTCTCCACCCACCACGTGGGTATTAGATTCCCAGGAGCAACCTTCTGCCCTCTGTCTGCATGCCTGTACCCCATGTTACTCCTTACCATCACTGTAGCTGGAACTTCAGATTTCTGCCCCTACGCCCCCTTTCCCTAATCCATATCTCTGACTCCAGTTCTGTCCTGTCTAGGGAGATGTTCACAGTGTCAGACATGCACTTAGATGCTCAGTAACTGTTGCATGAATGTATTTCACAGAGGCATCTTGATATCAACATGCCCCCCAAACAGATATTAACACCCCACCCTGCCCCCTCTCCTGTTCAGCCTTTAATTTCTATTCTAGCTAGTGGTGCCTGCTTCCACTCAGAGGCTTAATTGCAAGCCCTGGAGAATCCTCCACTCCTTTTTCTTACTTCCCCTCCACAGCCAATAACCTCGCAAATTTGCTTTATCCAGCTTTCATCATCTCATACTCATATGTTCCTGGGCTCCAGGCACCCCGCATCTCTTAGCCTCCTGCCATCTCCCCACACCCACCCCAAGAGGGATCTTTCTAAAACAATCTGATCATGTCGGTCTCCTACTTTAAAATTCTTTCATAGGTCCAACTATGAAAGGATTCACAGGTTCAAACCCTTTTTAGCATGGCATTTAAGACCCTTCTCCATCTGCCTCTAGTCAACCCACTTTTCCTGTTTGAGTTCCCACCACTGTTCCCTGAGTGTGTGCCCAGATATTTATTATGTAAATGAGTGGGTGAAAATGGGACAGTCTTACTTGACCACTTAACTCACTAATGGGTCTTAGGTGCTATCATATTTAGTTCTGTCCATTTGAAGACAATTACTTTTATTGTTTATTGCAGAATTGTTCATTTAGCCGGGGGTCCAATATGTGTCAGGCATGGTGTTAGGTGCTTGGGATACACTGGTAAACAAAAAATGACAAAGATCCCTATGATCATGGAACCCATATACTGCCAGGGGGACACACACCATAAATAACAAATGTAATATGTAAATGGAGTAGGAAGTGGCATTATAAGGTAAAATAGGATTTTAAGAGTAGGCCTAATTGAATTTGTCTTTTTTTTTTTTTTTTTTTTGAGTTGGAGTCTCACTCTTTCACCCAGATTGGAGTGCCGTGGCCGCTCCCGGCCACCGCAGCCTCAACCTGCTGGACTCCGGCGATCCTTCCGCTTCAGCCTTCCAAGTAGCTGGAACTACAGGCGCGTGCTACCACGCCCGGCTAATTTTTTGATTTATTGTAGAGATGAGGTCTTGCCAAGTTGCCCAGGCAGGTCTTAAACCCGTGGGCTCAGACAATCCTCTCACCTCAGCCTCCCAAAGTGCTGGGATTACAGGCTGAGCCACCGAGCCCGGCTTTTTTGTTGTTTTTTGTTTGTTTTTTGGAGATAGGATCTTGCTATGTTGCCCAGGCTGGAATGCAGTGGCAATTCACAGGCGCAATCCATAGCTCACTGCAGCCTCAACTCCTGGCCTCGATCTATTGTCCTGCCTCAGCCTCCCAAGTAACTGGGACTACAGGCACATACCACCATGCCCAGCTACATATTACTTTAGATTACCATCATGTCCCTCACCTTAGAGTCAGGGAGTTAAAAAGCTATTCTAAGAAAGTTGAAAGTAACAATAAGCCGGGCTCGGTGGCTCAGCCTGTAATCCTGCACCTTTGGGAGGCTGAGGTG